ATTTTGTCATTTTTTGTAAATTGTTTTATAAAAGATGAGAACAATAAATTGTTTCAGTTGAGTTTTGTATATTAATCTTTATTTCAAATTGTCAGTGTTGGTTTACTGATGTTTGAGATTAGTGTTTATTCATATGTGTTATCATATGAGTGTAGGGTTTCGTCATATATATTTGTATGTATGGTTTGTATTTAACCGATTTGTAAAATTTCTACAAAGAGATTTGACAAATTTTATTTACTCTGAAAAAGTTACTTTGAATATTGTGTAATGTGAAAACATAACACAAGTTCTACAGTTTTGTAGATGAGTCAGTGTACTAACGTGCATGGTTCACAATCCCCAAAGAACGCGTTCACCATTCCCAACAGTGCTTCGGGCACTTTTCTGGTTGTTAATGCCTTACAGCATTTTCAAGCAGTATACATTACCTTTATGGGTAATTTCACTGTTAGGACAGAAGTACTTTAACGAGTCCCGTGTCCTTAGTATAAGTTCTACTGTAGTTAGACAGTATGGTTTTTGATATATATGCAGGTATCAGTAATTTTTGTTTATGAGTTGAAAATGTCGGGACGCCATTTTATCCTTGGCGGGGAAGTATGTCACAGGGTCATTTTGTCTTTGCTAGAATACTCTGTAATTCATACCCATACTCTATATCATTCCCCTATCGTCTCTTTTTCAATCATTCATATCATTATTCAACTTCATACTAATAACTTCATTTGACCTGTAACACGTTGACGGGCCTCATTCACTTCATTTTTGAATTCGGTCACGCTAACCTTTACGCATGCGCACAAGAAATGAGAACTTTTAGCGAGAGCTGTTGTTTTTTTTCATTGACTCCGTATTCTATTTTATTGTGTGCCAACAATATATTTACAGGTATATTTGAGGTTATAAAACATTGTAAACATGAATTACTATGATATGTGTATGTATTTCGCTTGGAATTATCAATAGCACAAGAAATGAGAACTTTTAGCGAGAGCTGTTGTTTTTTTTCATTGACTCCGTATTCTATTTTATTGTGTGCCAACAATATATTTACAGGTTCCTCTTTGAACGCCCTATCCTCCCGAGTGAGAACTCACGTATATCCGTGACATATGTCTTAAAGGTGTCACAATAAAATAGAATAGCAAGCCTATCGAATGTCCATTAGATGAGCAGATTCCCCGCAACGATTACATCCCCTGATATGTACAGTACAAAAGTGTGAATAGTGCATTGAAATTATTTGTCAATGGGTATACTGACATGAATGACCTTAGATTCCATGCAGGTTACCGTTCAACGACAAACAGATAAGACTGTACGATCTGAAAAAAAAATGACTATGGTCTAGCCGTAAATCGCCAGCCGATCACATATTGTTCAATTTATCGTCTAAATATTCCAATGTTCCTTTTGCTTTGAACGCCTTGAATGTATTGTGGCCTGTTTGAATTGCCACGCACAATGTGATATCATATTGTGTTAATTGTGTATCGGTTACATTCTATGAATTGTGACTATTGATGGGTCAACATCTTAGTCGGTTTGAACTTGCATCGAAAGTTTTACGTGGAAATTTAATCAAATATAAATATACGTTATTTTATGCTCTCAGATTCGTTCTTGTCGTGTAGCTTCCGCTTCTCGTGCATTGTCATGAACAAGAATAAGACAATAATTGTTTGATTTATATGAAATAAATACTTTTAAACCAAAACGTAGATTGCCAGAAGAAAAAAATAGCGAATTGTCCGACAATTTCTAAGCTTTCTCCTTTTAGATATGAATTATTTTATCTTATTCCACCTTTTCTATATAATTATCTTTATTTTAGTTTTCTTAATATTTACTTAATATGCTGTTTACAGTCAAAATAATACAAAAAGTCCGGGTTAAGATCACTTTATAGCCGAAGTATTTAAGCACTCTTCTGATAGTATTTCCCCTTTCTTACTTCAATTATATAACAAATTATTCACCGAAGGCATCTTCCCTGAAACTTGGCAACAAAGTATAATAGTTCCGATTTTCAAAGGCGAAAGAGCTGAAGCAAAAAACTTTCGAGGAATCACATTGAATATTATTTTATCTAAAATTTATTCTAAGATGCTAATAGCTAGACTTACTAAATGGGCAGACGAAAATTCAATATTAATAGATAACCAATATGGTTTTCAAAAATCAAAATCAACCCATGATTGTGTATTCATTCTTCATGCTATTATATAGAAAACATTATCAATGAAAAAGAAACTATATGTAGCATTTTTAGACTGGGAAAAAATGTTTTATCGAATAGATCAATTGATGTTGTGGCAAAAATTAACTACTGCAAACGTAAGCACTTAACTTATAACAGCTTTTAAATCCATGTACTTAGTTGTAAAATCATGCAGTAATTCGATATAATTCTAAGAATTCAGATCCCATAACATCCTTTATTGGAGTAAAGCAGGGAGACCCAGCTAGTAGCATACTCTGTCTTTTTTCCTAAATGATATTGTAGAAAATATTAATAGTAACTTAAGGTATTAGCACCATAATGCAAATAGGCTAGAACTACTGTTAACTACATTGAAAATGAGGGCCATGGGTTCAATCCCCAGAAGGGTCAACTTTTTTTTTTCTTTCTTTTTTTCTTTTTACATTATTTATGTATCTCTCATATCCCATTTGGAAAGAAAAAAGTGTTTAATTTTGATTTTTTAATTTATATAGGTATTTATTGGCTAAATTATGCTAAATATAGTAATAAATATGGTACCAGAATGATATTTTCAAAGTGTAATATAATCAAAACTAGACGGTAAAAGTATTTCATATTTTACAAGATCAACCAATATACTTTTTTAAAAATTTAGGGAAACTTTGAAAACAGGCACTCATTTGGGTAAATTTTAAGATTTTTTTAAATTAGGCTTCCTAAGTAGAAAAATGGTCAGACACGTGGTAAAAATGGATGGGGTAGGGTAACATTTTTATACAGATTTCATAAATTTTAAGTAGAAACCATAATTTTGCTTATTTGGATTTTAAGCTGAATGGTACAATTTGTTTCTTACCAAAAATTAATGGGAAAACATTTTTCATTTGAATGTTATTGCAGATTATTTAAAGGTTCCTACTTTCTAAAAAGGGCCCTCATAACATCCTAGCTGGAGTTCAGAAAAGTGGCCATAACTTGATTTCCGTACGGTAAACTTTGTTTAAATTTTGCATACAGGTGTACTTTAAGGTATACATCTGACTTATGATGTCAATTTTTTAGTTCCTGATAGTGCCCATTAGGGTCCTAATACCTTAAATGGTATTTTAAGTATTGATGACGCAAAAGTATTTTTATTATTGTTCGCTGACGACGGTGCATTATTTGCTTATGCCCCTCAAACTCTACAATCAATGTTAAATGATGTACAGACTTACTGTAATACATGGAGACTTCGATTAAACGCCAGTAAGACAAAATAATGATATTTGAAAACGGTCGCCATACATCATATGATTTTTATATAATTATGTAACTCGCGTATTACATCGTTCAGTCATTTGAATACCTTGGTGTTCATTTGTTTAAAAACGGGAATTCGAATCGCACGCAACAGAGAATTGCTAAACATGCTCCGTTTTCACTTCAAAATTTATTTATTGTTTACAACCAATTAGAACTACCTATATCCCAAAAATATATCTTATAACTTTTTGATTCTCTCTTAATTACTGTGCGGAGGTATTGGGTCATCACGCTGGACCAGATATTGAGATTGTACATACGAAATTTTGTAGGAAAGTTCTATGCGTAAAACGCTTAACAAACGTAGATGCTCTATACGGCGAATTAGGGAGGACACCAATGAATGTGTATCGAAAAAATATATTGATAAAATACTGGGTTAAACTAATTACTTTGGATAATCAGTCACTACTTTTAAAACTTATAATATATTGATGAGGGATGCTGAATTAGGAAATACATATAATGGTAATAACTGGACTAGTCAGATTAAAGAAATACTTTATAATCACGGTTTAATGTACTTATGGCAAAACCAATTTAACATTCAAATTGACGTAAATATGATTAAACAACGGATATTAGATGTGTATTATCAACAGTTGTGCTCATCAATAAATAACTCTCCTCGTCTCGAAACGTATTGTTTATTTAAACATGAATGTAAATTAGACAGTTATCTCGACTTTATACATGAAACAAAATTCAGAATATCTTTAACGAAATTTCGTACATCCTCACATGATTTGGCAATAGAACGCGGACGCTTCATAAATATTCCTAGGACGGAGAGAATTTGTTTAAATTGTAATTCTAATATGATCGAAAATGAATATCTTTTTTTACTTATATGTCCAAAATTTAGAGAACTACGTAGAAAATATCTAAAACGTTATTATTATACCTTATTATCATTATTATTATACCCGTTATTATTATTACAAAAATTCAAAAACTTGTTAAGTAAAACTAACCGGAAAATTATTCAGAATCTATGTAAATTTATATATTATGCTAATGCAATGAGAAACTAACAAACATTTTTTAATGTTATAAGCTCTTTTGACAATAATTTTTGTATAAACATAAGTAAAACCCATACATTTCCATTGTATTTCATGTATTGTTTGCTATAAATATGTTTCATGTTTTATGCAATAAATATATTGAATGAATTGAATTGAATTTACAGCTAATCTCAATTTATCACACTATCTCTTATAACAACAAGCCTTTATGTAAACATTCTTCTGTTTCCGACAAAAAATTTCATCTGCATATAAAAGTATAAACAATCTTAAAAACAACACAAATCAACCCCTTCAAAACCAGTAAGAACAAATCCTCTATATCATTAAGATACATTCCATATTTTTTAAATACAACAGGAGACAAAGATTTTCCTTCATTGATACTTTTATTTCCTCCAGTTATGAAAAGCAGAATATACAATATGTAAAAGATGTAAAAACATTTTTTAACAGTATTAAGATTAACAATAATTAACATGTTTGATGTACAGGGGATGTATAGTAAAAAATCACAAACATCAAAAAGCAACAATATACAGAATAATACAATGAACATTACAATATTTTAAGCATATTTTGTGTTTTGATTAAAAGTTTTTCCATAAAAACCAGTCTTGTTCTATAACGAAAAAGGAAAGAAATGATCGATGGATATTACGTATAAAACATAGTGCTTAGTAAGTCAAATGTTGTGAAGATATACATTGATATTATATATATATATATTTTAGATATTCTTTCGTAGTTATGGAAACAAGTCTACGTGATGAAACACATAGTCGTAAGAATGAAATTCTAAGGTTTCCAACATTAATACAATTAAAACATTTCTGAAGTTAAAAATCTGCAGTTAAACACAAGATTTATCTGACCTATGTTATCAATTATTCAGATGGTTATAGTGGCCGTTGGGATGGTCACACCTTAAACACAAGATCGTGCTCTGGTTGAGTCGTACAACTCAGAAAACTAATTATTAACAAATAAGTCAGTTTCACTTTGATAAAATATATACATTCCCTTAACTTTAAGACAACTATCCATCATTACAACAAAGTGACTGTCACAAATTTCGTACACTTTTACCCATGTGTTTGTTAAGATTTATATCTAATTAACTGTACAATAAATCATAAATTATTCTGGTACTTTTTTCAAGTTGTATCATTTTAGCAAATACTTTATGTAACACATTAAATTATTTTACATTTCAAACATGGTCTACCTTTTTTCCTCCGAGTTTGCACTCAAACGCAAAACAGTTTTGAACAAAAATTCAAATGTACTCTTATTTACAAAAATCATAAACACTTCTTTTCTCTTAAGCATGATTCATTGATTCTTTTATTTCCTCCAGTTATGAAGAGCAGAACATAAAATATATACAACATGTACAATCATCTCTTAACAGTATTGAAATTAGCAACAATTAACATTTTTGATGTATAGTGCATGTATTGTGAAATGAAACAAAACACAACAACACAGAATAATACAAGGAAAATTACAGTATTACATATGTGGCGTTTTGATTTAAAGTTTGTCCATAAAAAACAGTCTTGTCCGAAAACGAAAAAGACAAGAAATGATTGATGGGTATTACTATTGTACCAATACCACAAAACCGCTGCTGTTATAAGTCAATTTCACTAATATTGCTTGATCCAAAACTGCCATGTCGAAATCGAAACACAAAACGTTTATGACTATAATAGACGTAAGATTGTATCTTGATAGGATACTTAGAGAGTAGCAAGTTTTTTAATATGATTTCGTTATATATTTGACCAATATTAAACATTTATAGTTTTGTTTTAAATGAAAATGTATTTTAAACACATATTATATGAATAAGTGTACACTTGTACATACATGTATTTACATAATCACTTATATCACGCCCAACACAATGTAAATTCATCATTTTAAAAGTTTTAAAATTTTATGCTGGACCTAACATTGATTTTATAGCGTCATTCAATTAATTTAAATCATAAAACTAAATAGTCAAAAGCCTTAGCAAATACTATAAATCATCATAAAGTTTTTTTATTATGAATAATAAATATTGAATATTTAATAAAAGGTACATTTATTTATGCCGGATATTGTTTCTAAATATGCTATCAAATAGTGATTAATACTGATGTCTGCGCCATTTCAGCTATGAAGTTATATAGTATATATCAAAATGTGTCCTGTTTAAATATATGGCAAAGCTTTCCATGTAACAAAGTAGTTGACATAGACATGTATAATAAAATAAGTAGAAAAGAAAAGTATATATAATGCAAATAAACTTCTCAAACTTTGATTTGCTTAAACAGAACCGAAGCGCGCACATATGTATTTTTACATCGTAAACGGTTACCTGACGTTTGTGCGTAAAATCTATTATTTAATTTTGTTTTATGGCATATCAAATTCAAAAATATTATTACTTGATATCTGAATTTCATTTTATTGCGCAACGTTCACGTAGTTTAACGTTTTACGTCATCTCTTTGTGCACCTATTACCAGCGCTACTTTGAATTGTTTGAAACAGTCTTAAAGGGTACCAGAGCTATATCTTATGATTTGTTTTAATAATGTTTATCAACAGTCAAATTATATGGCTTCCACAATATCGAAATAGTTGTAACATGGAATTGCTCTGTTATTTATCGCACACATATATTTTATGAAAACAGAAAAAAATGTCGGAATTTAATACCATAATTCTTTGATACAAGCAATTTGAGTGTACATGTATTCTTTTTTCACAGTCAAACAATTTTTTTCGGCAGAGATATAATTTTATATACGTTTAGATGTTGGGTTTTCTAAACGACTTGTTGTCAATTTGCGTTATTATAAATTCGTTATACAAGTTGTTGACGTAATATACTAGTATGCGAGAATACAGCCTCGCTGACATAAATATAACCCTCGACTAGCGCCTCGGATCATGTTTATGTCATTCAGGCTATATTCTTCCATATGCCCCGTCCGTAACTTGTATAACTTATTATATACATTAGCATCTGCTTTAAAAAGACACGAACATAACAATAAAGATATACTATGCTCATCTTTAAGTAAATATAAATATTGGAAATTCTAAACAAAATGTACTGAGTGTGTCTTATTTGAATAAGAGAATGCATAAACTATATTTGGGACGTTGACTAGTCAAGACAATCTGTTGTATTGTTTTTCAACTGCCTGTTTTTGTTGAAAGGATGTATTTATACTGTGTTAAACTTACATTATACCTAGCGAATTGTAAATGGTATTTTAAAAGATTTTTATGGTGACATATTCATGAAAAAATATTTATTAATGTTTGGGCTTTTTAAAAAAAACACACACACAAAAAAAGCCTTTATTATAAAAAGACTGCTCCAATCTTTTTAATAATTGTACGTTACTTTTACATTGTGATTAATATTTAGAGAAATTTACATTGGTCACATTGTTTGTCGTCAAATATAAACGTATGAAAAGTTAATTTGATTTGTGCCTGTTCACTCTTACCATTACAATTCGCTATTTTTGAACATATTTGATAAGTTTAGAATATCTCCAATTCAGCTATATTATTATTTAATTAACATATAACAATCTGATTACAAGACAATACTTCATTTAAACAGCGAAATGGAAATCAAAATAGGGTATATGTGAATGTTATCATTACTATTTTTTCCAATACAAAGCAAGTAAATATTTTATACGAATAATTAATTAAGAATCCTTTATTAAAGAAACAAAATCTGTTCTAAGGTCAATTATGGTTTGTTCTTTATCTAACATATCTTTTTTCTTCATTTTCAAGCATATCATCATCTAAATCATGTTATTATGCAAGCAGGTATTTTATGTTTTTCATCATGTCTGAGGTCACCTCCATCTGTATTAAGATCAAGTCTTGTTTGTTCTTTAGATGACAGATTGTTTTCTTCTCCAATTTCGGGCACATCTTGACCTAGGAAATTGTCGTTTGCTGTAGATTCGATAGCAGACAAGTCGTGTTCCTCATCATTTTTTAGTATATCAACAAGTTTAGCAAGCAAATTTGTTTGTTTTCCATCCTTTTTGACCACATCTCTGTCTGGATTAAGATCAATGCTGGTTTGTTCTTCAGATGAGAGACCATTTTCTTCTTCAATTTTGGGCACAGTCTGACAGTGAGAATTATCGTTTTCTTTAGTTTCGTTTGAAGTCATGTCATTTGCTTCAGAAATAACCCCTTCCTCGTGATCTTCTGTTCCATCATACCCAAGACTTTGTATTTCGTCTTCTTTCCTAAAAGATGTTTGAATAAAAACTCATTATAACAACTGAAATGTTGTCATGACTTCTGCCAACATTTAAACAAAAATGGTCTTGCAACTCTGGGTTAAAAAAAAAACTTTGTTGAATATTTGGTTTTTGGTAAGTGCTAAAAAATAACTGAGAGATAGAATTATAGGAAACATTATTTTTATGCGATAATTACTATGAAATATATGAAAAACAAGATCAACAAGGAAGGCGGCGTTCAATGAACGCAACCCCGACACGAAAACTGTGAAATTTTATTTTGATTCTTTTCGCTGTGAAATTGTCTATGATTTTAGTGGATAAACATAGTAACCCATTCGAAAGCATAATATAATATTAATTTTGCAACTTATTCAATAATACAGTATTGAACATACAGTTATTCAAAATATTTTTTCTAATATTATCTTTCTTTTTGCTTTTACTTTTTAATATCCACTAGCATTTTCAAGTTTCTTTTTGTTTAGAAGCATTTCTAAATATCCTATAGAAGTAGCAAGTGATTACAAATCTAAATTTTATTTTTCAATTAAGAAAAAGACTTAACAAATGCGTTTAAAATAGTTTTGAAAAATCATTGGAACTTTCCAATTGCCGTAGAAAATACGTCTACGGATTAAAAATACCTTTTATACAAACTGGCTATTTGTCTTATTTGATTTTTCATTGGAGTGTCTAGTATGACCTAATGATTATATAAATTATATATTAAGTTACATTAATTAATTTATAAAAGATTCATTAAGCAAACTTACTTTTTTTGATGACGTAAGTAAATGAAACATCTAGCTAGTGCAAAAATCAGTAAAAAGGCACTGCCAAGTACAATTACTGCCACCACAATTACAGTATTGCTTCTTTCTTCATCTGCAAAATAACATTTAATCGTTTCCATCGCCTTGTGTGAACTGCCTTAATAAATTTAAGAATTGTATTTGCGCTTTAACCGCTATCTCAATCATTAGTCAGTGCATGATTCAGTAACTGAGTAGCTAGCTTGTTTTTTATCTGTTTTAACCCGATTTTAAATTGTTTAGGGCATATATCGGCGATCATATCACCTAACCAGATTTCCTGGATAACTTACCAATAACAAGAAATAAATTCATAGTATTGCAAGCAATACAGTAGTCCCCTACCGGTTAGAAGTCTGGCAACATTATCAAGGATCATGGCCATTCAATTATGGCATAGTGGAAGACATGGAATGGATGAAATTAAATCTTGTGAGTTCTTAGTTTGTATTATAGTAATGTGTTAAGTTTCCTTACCTAGTAAGGATATTATGTTAATACAACAGATAATCAAAAGAAATATGTTAATACGACAGATAATCAAAAGATCCAATTTCCTCAGGATGAAAATCATAACTAATGTTTCAACTTTTCAAAGAAATAAAGAACTAATAGTAAAAAAGAACTTACTGCGTCAAAACATTAACCAGAAATTTGGACGCAGTCACAGACTTTAGGTGAGTAGGACAACTCTCACTATATTCCTAATGATGTGTATAATCTCCAAACAGCCTTCTTTTTTTCTTATTTCGAGTTTCATAAAGATATTTTTAGTAATTTTTGAGTTAATAAAAAAGTTGTTACATTTGTTATATTTTAGGTCAATATGTTGCCACAGCTACCAAAATTTCAACATATGAAGACAAAAAACGTGCATTATCTTCTGACTGACATCTGCCCATATTTCAAGTTTCATAAAAATATTTACAGTACTTTTTGTGTTAAAATGGGATCTAGTTTTTCTGTTAATTTGCCATATTTTAAGTATATAGTATATTTGCTGGTATAGCAAAGCTTTTTTCAAAATGGGAAGAAATAAAAGACGTGCATAATCTCGAGACTTCCATCTATCCATATATCAAGTTTCTTAAAAATATTTTCAGTTCAGTTATCAAGGGATCAAGTTTTGTGGACGAACAGACGGACGGAGGGTAAACCAAAAGTCCCCTCCGATTACACCGGTAGGGGACTAATGGCCAATATATCAGCAAGCGACCGGACACTATATAGAGAGGCACAAGGGTCGTTACACTCAACGTCAGGATTTCAAATCCAATTATCTCCCTAAGCTGACGGTCATCGATTCTTGAGTATAACATTATTCTTATAGTTATGTAGCAGAATAAAAGTTTACTTATATAAGAATATTCAGTACAAGTACGATCTAAATATTTACAAGTCTCAAAATAAACTCATGCCATCAACTAATAATATTTAATAATTTAACTGATATCAGGACGTTTTGTTGCACTTTTAAAAAACCCTAAATTAATCTATGAAATAACATTTTCTCAACTTTGAGACATGAGTCTTGTTCATAATTACAATTATTTACGATATTTAACGTCATTAATTATTCAGCAATGTGCAAAAAGATTTGAATTCCACAACAATCTATAAAATAGAAATAAAGTCAATACTACCTTGATCCTCCATCATGTATTTTCCAACGGTATGATACGACTCTATTTTTTCATTCCCATAATCCGCAACAACTTTCAGATAGCAATTTCCATTGTTACTAGCCTTTGCGGAAATTACCTCTGAGTACTGTATTTGCTGATCATTCCCACAATCAGAATTATTCGAACAACTTGTAGTTGTGTTGTGGATTTTTGGGGTGATTTCTTTCTCGCGCTTGTTACGTCCCTACAATAAATGAACGATTTTTCAAGCCTTGAATATCTATAACATTTTATAGTTTCTTATGGATATTTACTTCTTTTGCAATTACAAAAACTATATAAATCCTTAGTCTGCTTGCGACAATTGTTTTCACCAACTCGTCCAGTACAGACTACGATCAGTCGGCACATCCGTGCTTTCTGATAACACATTATCAAAACATAAATGTATATAGGCAGATACTAGATACTATTACAGAAACAGATCTCACCAACTAATTTAATTTGAAGCCATTAAAACTAATATTAGTAGATTTTTTCACATATCACAAATGTCGTGGCCACGAGTTACTAAGATATAGGCTATCTACTGTCCACGGGCAATGACCCTACCAAATAAAATAAACCAGGACTTATTCCTTCTCATGTTATTGTATAAACAAGGTTAACAGGTCGTAGTACGTACAAACTGACCAATTCGATCACAAAATTGTCCCAACAAAGGACTATAGTCAAAATTAATGTCTGATTGGCCTTGGAAGGTGACATTCTAATATAATCCTAAAGACTAAGTCAAAGTAAATATCTTCAGTATTTTCAAAGATTAATGTTGCATGTAAAAGTAAGATGTTAACTTTAAAAAATCATAATAAATATAGTGTATTCTGATTGGTTAATTATCGCATGACTTAGATATCTCGTTCCCACAATTTAGTAACTTGGGTCCACGAAATAGTATCTCGTGGCCACGACTTAGCTATCTCGTGGCCACGACTTATTAACTCGTGGCCACGACGAGATAAATTAAAACAACACATGTCACCTTTATGCCACCGTAGGAAAGAGAAGCTTCCGTTATGAAACTTCACGAGCATCTGACATTTGTATGGTAATGAACAAAAAAGGAAGAGCAATATTCGCGCAACACACAATCCCCACCCCCTTCTGCGCCCGACTATACATGGTCAAATTTAAAATATTGAAGGCTAGACTATACATATTTTCAAAATGCTAGACTGAAATACTGATAATCCAATTAAAAAGAAACTTATTGTTTTTCATTATTCATCTGTAAACGTATGCATTGTACAACTGAAAGTTTACATTGAAATATAACAATATATCTATCTAAACACTAATCGATGACATATGGCACTATTTGTTTTGTAGTTGAACTTAGTTTATGTAAATTTAAATATTTCAATGTATACGAATTTTTTATTATCTTAATGCGTATTAATACACCCGGATTTTGTCAGACTCATTGACACTTGTCTTTCCCTAGTAGTTACTATACTTATAAGATTTATTCTGTGTAATTAACGGTAATGTATATAAAATAACCTTTACATTTTATCACTTACGAAACAGGAAATATTCATTTAAATTAGTTGATAAATTGATAAACATATATTTAGATATACAGACATAATTCATATTCATTAAATGTGTTGACTTTTATAAACCTTTGTGTTGTTCTTGAAAGCGTTGGCTACATTACATCTTACAGTTAATTACGAGTACAATATTTAAATAATATCATTTGGCAATTCTTAATAACTCGAATCCATTCTGTTAACATAGAATATAAGAATCTTACACTGGCTGTCGGTACAGACCGGAATATCGAGAGCTAGATATTCCTGTACGATAGCCAATGTTTGCATATCACATAATTATCAGAACAGAAATTATGAAAACTACGGAGCCCCTAAGGTGACATTTTCCACACTTTTTTCCCCGTAATTCCGAAATAACATTTCGTTTTTACGAATTAATATTTCGTAATTACGAATTAATATTTCGTAAAAAAGAATTATTATTTCGTAAAAACGAATTAATATTTCGTAATTACGAATTTATATTTCATAAAAACGAATTATTATTTCGTAAAAACGAAATAATATTTCGTAATTACGGATTATTATTTCGTAAAAACGAATTATTGTTTCGTAAAACAAATTATTATTTCGTAATTACGAAGTAATATTTCGTAAAAACGAATTAAATGCCGGGAAAAAAGTGTCGAAAATGTCACCTTAGAGGGTCCGTAGAAAACTGATATTCTCATTGCGCACTTTTTTCTTATAGTAGCGTATGAACTTACAACTTCATTCATAACGGTTACGTGACGTCATCCTAACACAAAAGGCGCGCGTCAATGACGTCATTTATTTAAAGCACGCGACTTGTCTTACATGTATAGAGGTGTGTTAGACAGGGTTTTCCAGCACTGGTGTAAATGGGTATCCTGTCTGATATGCAAGAATATACCATCTCAGATAAAGTTATCGCAGTCACGGTTAATGATTATAAACTACTTAAATAAAAATTCTTATTATAACACTGGCATTATATGACGATGTAAGGAAGAACATACACATATCTTTATCCATTTAAACGAAACTCTCGTGACATTTGAAATACAGCCAGAGATCGCCTGTATGGTCCCAGCTGTTGTATTTTCAAAAAGCAGAGGCTCGTAATCTGTAACATATTAAAAAAAAATATTGAGACTTTGAAAGTCTCTTATTAATTAAAAGTAAACTTATTTCATTTCAATACTAGCTGTAATAAAATTCATGTTAATTATGCAATAAATCATCTTTTCAACAATTATGTATTCAGTTTAACTGGCGGAGTAAAAACCTGATTGTAGCTTAAAAAGTCGATCTTAAAATCGCTTAAACAAGGCTTTACTACTTAATAAGAAGCGTATCCCATCACAACGGTAAAATAGTAAACTGTAATCAAACTATAAACAGTAAAATGCAAGTGGTTAATCAAACTATTTATGCTATAATAGGTTATGCTCACCTTTGACCCTAATAAGCTGTGAATCAGTATTGGTTCCATCTGAACACACCAACTTTCTTCCATTATCTTTCATGGTTAACTTAATAATTGTTAAATTAAAGATGTGATTTGTCTCATCATATGATATCTTGTATTGATCAATATATTTAGGGTTAATGTCACATTTGTTTCTTATACACTGAGCAATTGCTGAAATATCGTTTTGATTCATCCAAGCAATGGCAAATGTTTTATTCTTGAACTTACAAGATAATGTTAGATCTCGGCCACATTCACATGTTTTTCCGTAAGCAAGGCTGTCTGGTTCCAATATATCAACATTTGAAGCTGAATTAAAAAAACATATCATGTGTAAAAATATAAATAAAAGCAAGCGTATAAAGATAATTAAGTGAGTGATAAAGACTAATTAATCATTCAAGTAAATTGAATGTTTATAAAAAAAATTCTTACTAATCCGTTCTTGACCAATTTAATTTTGTAAATGCTTACTAGCAAACACTCACTTAAACATAATACAAAGGGATCTAAAAGGTACCATAAAAAGCATTAGAAAGTAAGGGAATATCATCATTTTCAACAGATTTCAAAATTTTCTCAGTCAACCTCCCACACCTATCCCGTTTACATGCATTTATTCTTTATTAATTTCACAAATGTACATGTAAAACACACGAGTAAATAGTAGTGTAAACAATATGTTAGAAGTAGCTTACATGCCACTCATAGTTTGAGTTATAAGAGACATCTTTAACATTTTTATCACGCGTGCAATATGCTGGCCGAATCTTCATAAGTACGCATTTATCGCCTGTAGCATGGTTTCCTATTGCTTTGTCAAAATCTTCCATCGACATGTCAGCCCCCCCCCCCATCTGTATCCGTCCCTGCTGATAATGAATTTGATAGGGCCTAATGATAAATGATTAGGATAAAATTTAAAACATGTCTAAATGTAAAAAAGTCTAGCACTATATCCCACTTGCAGATACATGTATGTGAATAGAACTGACAATAATGTAGTTATACCATTTACACTTGGATAGACATAATGTCACTTGAAATCAAAATAATTTGCAAAATAGTAAGCTCCCTGAGTAAAAATATAATGTCAACCTTTAAACCGCTACTATTATAAGATGAACCCTTGAAGAACTTTAATAAAGACAAGTGAACCCACTTTACAGTGATTTCGCTTGTTCGAGGGTTAAACCTCTTTCACATAATAAACTGTTATTAGTCCCCTACCGGTTGAACCGGAGGGGACTTTAGGTTTACCCTCCGTCCATCTGCTGTCTGTCTGTCCGTCCGTCCGTCTGTCTGTCTGTCAGTCCGTCAGTCCGTCCGTCCACAAAACTGGATCCCGCGATAACGCAAAAAGTACTGAAATATTTTTATGAAACTTGAAATATGGGTAGATGGCAGTCTGGAGATTATGCACATTTTTTTCTTTTCTTCCTATGTTGAAATTCTGGTTGCTATGGCAACAAATAGCCTGAATTTCAAGATTTCTGATTTAAATTTTTCAGCTTTTTCACTACATGTTCTTTATTTCTTAAGGTGTTTACTTCAAACTTTAAATATAAGTTTCTGGTCATCAACCACATCATATGTGACAAGGTTTACAACTCTAGCACAAACATTATCAGTATTACCTCCCTTGAACTTAGAATTTTTATGAATAAAAATGTTGTCTTTTTTAAATAACTTCTTTAATTCTTAATGTATCTACTTCAAACTTCATATATATGTTTCTTATTATCACTCAACAAATCGAGGCAATAACAAATCTTAAAGCTCAAACGACAAGACAAGAGTTAGAGCATGTGCTTGGCATGGCAAATTATTTACAAAAATTTGCGCCAAACTTCGCTGAGGAGGTCACCAGTCCAATGAGAGGATTATTGAAAAAAAGCAATTGAATTCATGTCGGATGTTCCACAATCACAGTCATTTGACAAAATAAAAGCAATTGTCACAGAAAGTCCTGTATTGGTTTATTTTGATGACAAAAAGTCAGTCAAACTCCTCACCGTTATTACCTCCCTTTACAGATTTTAATCACTGCCTTCGAAGGCGTCACATGATGATGAAAGTCACATGACGTAACGTCGAAATTCAAATGTAAATATCGACCGTTACATAGAAAATCTAACGTCATTATTCTCTTTCTGTTCTATTTTTAACTTTTCGTACCTACGTTCGTTATATTTTATCCAAAAAATATGAAAAGTATACAAAATAATGAAAAATAAATTTAAAAGCTAAAAAATATAAAATATCAGAAATTCTGATATATCGGACCGTGGTGGCAGAGATCTATGTACTGATAAGGGGAGATCACAGCGTAGGAGATTGAAAGCCAGTAATACTCTAGTGTGATAGTTCCAAATTTGGATGTGGATCCGCCATTTTTCAAGATGGCCGCCCGGTAGCATTTGCATCCAAGACATTGTCCGACACAGAGTCTCGGTACGCAAACATAGAAAGAGAATTAAACGCAATAGTATTTGCATGTACACGATTTCATCAATATGTTTATGGCAGAACAGTGACTGTACATAGTGACAACAAACCGTTATCCGCAATCATGCAAATGAGCAAATATGACTTGAATGTCAAATTTGTACCTGGTAAGCAAATACAGGTAAGCGACATGCCTCTCAAAGATAAATTCAACAATAAAGACTTAAACCTACATATACACACGGTACTGAAAGGGTTACCAATAACTGGCCGCAGACTTGAGTCACTGAGGCATGACACAAAAACTGACGCAAGCATGAATCTGCTGAAGCAGACGATACATGAGGGATGGCCAATTTCCCGCGCAGACTGTAATCCTGCTGTTGTGGAATTTTTCAATCAGACGACCTTATATTCAGAGGTCAAACTATACGACGAGCTAAAGACGCTTTGTTTTGGCCTGCCATGGCAAAACAAATTACTAGCTACATTTCTCAATGTTCTGTTTGTCAAAAGCACAGATACTCGAATTCAATAGAACCTTTGATGTCACATGACGTACCAGACAGACAATGGCAAAACATTGCCGCTGACTTGTTCTCATTTGACAACAGGGACTTTCTTGTCACTGTAGACTATTACAGACGATACTTTGAAGTAGATGCTCTCCCAAATACTCAAAGTACAACTGTAATTAGAAAACTGAAAGTCCATATGGCCAGATACGGCATATGTGACAAACTTATGACAGATAATGACCCGCAATTCTCTGCAGAAAATTTCTAAGATTTTGCGAGGGAATGGGGTTTTTCACATGTAACATCAAGCCCAGCAATGGTCTCGCTGAAAAAACAGTGTCCATTGTCAAAAGAATATTCAAAAAAGCGCAAGAAAGCCACAGAGATTCATATTTGTCTATTCTAGAGTATAGGAATACACCCCTTGAAGTTGGCTTTTCACCAAACCAACTATTAATGGGTAGAAGAACACAATCAGACTAGGTGGATTTTGGTAATTGTTTTAACCCCAATGTATTATTTTGCGGCGTCTTTGACGTGCAGCATTAACATTTAACTTGTTTGTTGTTAAATATATGATATCAAAGCTTGTAGTAGTATAATGGCCGGTTTGGCGTCACGTCTGCGCATGCGCGGCGGCCATATTGGATTTTTTATTTAGAATGACATCATTGTTCTATTTTGAGAATGTGATCATCCGTCTATTTTTAGAAAT